TTTTTTTTTTTTTTGTAAAACTTAATTTAATACAAATTAATCAGCTAGAAATTAACACACGGTGTTTCTTGCTAGCAATCACAAGCTCTGTCTCGTCAGTTTTAACAACAATTCAGTCGTTAAGTGTGGATGTGTTATTATGGAGTTACGAGTCTAGTATTTTAGGTAGTACTGGGTATTTTCAGTTCTGTTTTTCTATAGGGATGAAAACCATGTTTTTAGACATCATGCAGTGAGCTTTAGGACAATTATTTAACTTTTGATAAAATTTTTAAAATGTTTTATAGTTGTTTGGTGTTTTTGCAGCATTTTTTTGACGCTTAATTTTTGGAGTTGAGAAGCTTATTGATTATTAGTGATTTAAAACTGATCTCTTGCTAACTGTAATTCGTTTGGTAATGTTTTTTGTTTAGAATATGACTCCTGAATTTTGATGTTGCACCACTGTTTTTTAGAAATTGGTCGAAACAAATTCTTTACCGGAAGCCCTGACTGCTGAAGTTACAGTCTTGAAAAAACAGCTCCAAGTTGTTTCCAAGCGAATATCAGCAAAAATTATGGAAAATTCACCTTCGTATTCTGCACAGCTACAGGACGTCGATGAAATCCAAGCGGAACTTAGTGGAGTGGTATCTACTGTCTCAAGTATAAGAGGGTGCCTATTATTCTTTAAGAGTAAACCAGCGTAATCAGTCTTTAACATTTTCAACTCCTCTTTTTGAGAAATTTCTGAATTAAGTTTTACTGAAACCGTAATTGCATATGGCTAATAACCCGTGAGTTGGCATCTCAACCAGGAATATAACTCAGTTATTTTTCTTAGAATTTAATCAAGAATAGAACTGAGTATCTTTTAGAGCTTCTGAAATTTCGTAACATTCATTATAGTTTCATCCGTCTTTACAATTTTTTGGCGGGCTATCGTTTTAGACTTTACAGTTTGAGTTTTCTTTGGTATAAAGAAGCAGTACTTTCAGAGAAAATATTGGGGTTAGAATCATGGAAGTGTAGATATTTTAGAAAGGTAGACTTGCTTCATTCACTTCTTGGACGTCTTCTTCTCTTACTGGAAGTAATCTTACGAAGAAAATGCAAAAGAGTTTTACTTTGTCGAATACCGTCGTTTGATAAATATCTAATTTTGAGTGCAACTAGTTTTGGGAATCGTTGTTTTAATTTTCTGGACTAATAGGTGACACCATTAAATTACTTGATAGATGGGTGATCAAAAATTCTTTTAAAATAGCATTTATTCTTTATCCAAGCTGTCAGGCGTGTTTGATAGTCATAGTTCCAAATATTTGATTTCAAACTTTTCTCGCAATTACCAAGACTCAGTTTCTTTTGCACTTCAAAATTTAAACGATAAAACGAAGTTAGAGTAAATATTTTTAAAGCAATATTAGAATTTTGCATAACCAGGTAGTTTCTAATTTGGAGTGTTTGTGTTTTTCATTTTCACTAATAATTTTGCCTTTTAGCAATTTGCATATTGCAAAGGACGAGTGTTCAAAGAGCTTGGAAATAATAGCAAATCACAGGAACCGAAAATATTTGAAAAGGCTGAAATCGTCTTTAGAAACTGTGAAGACACTATATGAAATTGAATTCCAATTGAAAGATCTCATACAAGTACGCACTCCGCTGTCCTTTCATCTGTTAAGTTGTAAATGTCAATAAAAATTTCAGGAAGGCAATTTCCCTGAAGCTATTACTCTTTGCAGAGAAACGCAAAAAGCTGCTGCTTCTTGTTGTCAGTTTCTCTGCATTAGGTATGGATTCTATTTTACTGATTCTAAATCACTTTATGTTTCTGTTGAATTGACATTTTTTCCCATGGGTTAAGAGAAAATTTTTCCAGAGAGCTTTCCCAGAAACTTCAAACTACCATGGATGACTTTGTTTTACATTTGAATGCGTCATTGGCATCTTTGACTGTTATTTTTGATCCTGATAAATATGCTCCTGTTTATAGAGCTTATAAAATGCTTGGCAAAGTTGAAGTAAAAATATACTAGTCTTTTTTCTAATAATTTTTTTACGACTTTGTTTAAAATCTTAACTTTTGCACGTCTTCTTGTTTTTTTTTAATCTAGGAAGCTGCTGATGAGATAGTGAGATGTTGTCACGAAACTTTAGAAAGCTCTTCTAGAAGAGTCATCGCCGAAAGAGTGCTTTCTCGTGCAGTCCACACTGATGTTGATAGTATGTCTTACGAACAGCTATGCGAAGTAGGTATTATTATTATTATTATTATTATTATTATTATTATTTTGTTGTGGAATTTAAAATTCCTATTACTGTTCTTTTATTTTAGTCTGTCGAAGCAGAGCAGATGCTTGACTGTGTTCGAGAATTAGGCTTTGTTTTATGCAAAATTTTATTTACATATCATGCTATACTGCGGTACCATATTGATGATGACGAACGGCTGGATTGTACAGAAACTAAGGATGGTAAGCAGTTAAACTGGATTTCAAATTTCCTACTTTATAATATTTTAATATTATAAGGTAGAAAATTTGAAATCCAGTTTACTATAAACTTTTTCACTATAAACCTTGGATGCACTCATAACAACTAACTTCCTTTGTTATCGCTTTTCTGTGTTTGATGATTTAATTAACTTTTATATGATAAATGAATTGAAAATTTCTAGAAAATGCCAACATTGTGCGTGTTAAGCTGACAAACTCCTTATATATTGTATTCAAAACGGCATCTCAGAAGTTCAATACATTATTGTGCTGCCATGATCTTTCAGTCTTGAAGTTTGATCACTTCTTGGACATTGTAGAAATGTCTAACCGGTATTTTAAATTTCTGACGTTTTAGGTCTTAGCACAAGGTCTTTCGTAAGAAGTGGTAGATAGTTTGAGAGATTATTTTTCAGGAAATCCTTCACCAGAGCGGTGTTTTTTAGTGATTAGGTAAAGAAGTAATGTGACTCATTGCTAAGCAGACTTTGGAAGAGAATTTTGCCATTGCAAAACTCACCTATATATGTAAAATATCTACTTTGGTTCATACTCACTGGGAAGTTGTATTTGAAACGAGGCCTATGGATGGAGAAACCACCAAAGGCATTATGATTGAGGTTGAAAAAAAAGAGTGTATTACGTGTTCAGCTCAGTAGCAGATCATAGAACGGTGAGAGTGAGGAGAGATAAAGAAACTAATAGATTTTTTTGACAGAACTTTGTCAGCTAACTTCTGTGTAAGCTTTATTGTCTTTTATGTGTAGGATAAGTTACAGTCTGTAATTTACAGTTGTCCTACTGAACTTTGAGTTAAGATTTTGGTTGAGGGATTCACTTCTGCAAGGTTTTTCTGAAGAAACTGAAGTGATGCTGATAAAATTTTTAAAAGAAAGGAAGCTGCATTTAAATTGAATGCATGCATTAGCTACATTACTGTAATTGGCCCGGCGTGGACCTTAAAGCGACAATTAAGATGGACGACAGCAGATGGAGTCTGATTGCGGCATGAAATAATTCTCATTCGTCTCACAAATTAGTCATTCTGTTTGGCTTATATGTGAGAGAGTAACTATAGTACTTAAAAGTACTATAAAGAGAAATAGCGGCTTCAACGGTAGCACGAGGTTCCATCTGTCTGGAAGGAATGGGGGTCTCTCTTTAAGAAGTTCAGGATGTGGCGCGATTATATTTTAACCAACAAGCCGTTTTGAAACAAATCTTTCTAAATGGCTGTCAAGAAATCCAGATCTTTTATTTGCAAAAAATATTTATGCGGTCAGGGAACTTAAGATTGGGACTCCTGGGAGCAAGAATGTAAAGTGCATTTAGACGATGGTGCAAAGTTGTGCTAGAGGAGTACGTTATTTGGTACTGAAAAGGTTGTAATTATGTACTGCTGCTGCTGCGGTTATTATACTTTGTATTCTACCGAATGGTTTTTTGAAAAGAGAAAGCTAAAAGTTGGGATTATGACTTCTAAACCACTTCTTACGAAACACTTGCATTTGCAGTCTTTGGTTAATTACAGTAGATCTATTCTCTGAGTTGAGATTTTTAGGTTTAAGCATTTTGGTCGAATTTACTTTGGCAATGCTTGTGGCGAAGTAGCTATTTCTCTAGAAAAACAAACGCATCTCTATTTCGGAAGGTACGCCTTTCCTCTAATTTTTGCGACTTTGGATATTTTACCGCAGCAGAATTTTTTAAAAATTTTAGTACACGATATTTTATGAACTTTGGTGGTGGAATACTGCTGATTATATATCTTTCTTAGGTACCATCGTGAAAGGATGGAGGAGTTGAAAATGTTTTTGGAAAATGAAGCTTTTGCTCTATGTCCAGTACCAGTACAGTTTACTTTGTTTGATTTGCAGGTTAATTAAGAATATACTTTAAAATTCCGTCTTTACAACATATAGGCCACAAGAAGTTTTTGTTTTCTCAGTTACTATTGAGGTTTTTGGTGATGTTTTTTTAGGAGTTTTTTTTTCTCAAAGAGTCTACTGAATGTTTTGATGATGGAGTTGGAAGTACAGAAGTTGAAGCTGGTTTAGGAGAACAACTAGATTATCAAATAATTCCTCCAGAGCTGCCTAATCCCTTTGCTTCAGAACCGAGAAGTGCAGGGTCAAAAGTGATTTTCATGACGGTACTGTTTTCTTGTTTAGTATGACAAAGTTGTCTTTCATTGTCATTTTGATATTCATTCCATCGCATCTGATTTTTGGTAAATCACCATTTTACTTTATCATTAGATTTTAAAGTGTCAGATTAATTATGTACAATTTAGCCACAGCGCAACCTGGAGTATGCGAATCCTCCTTCGCCTAGTAAATCTGTTGCAAACAAGGAAGATGTGAAGTACAGACTTTTGTACAACAGAGTCTTTTTTAAAGCATTTCTACTCTGTTTTACATTTTTGCTGCCCTGAGTTTTATAGAGAAACTTTTTAATCCTCAGGCTCTTGGACAGTTCTGGACAGAAAAACCAGCTTTCAAACAGTTCTGTTAATGAAAACAACCAACAGCTGTCGCCGATTTTATGTAACACTGCCCTCAATCTACTTCG